GTATGACTTAAACAGAGGAAGTGTTAAATGGTTGGATGGAGTTATTTGGAATAGAGATGTAAAATCTAGTGCATGACCTGAGCTGGAGATTAAGCGGATGGCAGTGTCTGTTATTCTAATGTAAGGGATGTGTTTATAAACAAGCTCTATATTCTTAAAGAGGTCATGGCACCTCTGTTCTCTAATGGAACTGGAACAGAGTTCTGTAAGTGTCAAGTGTCGCCTCAGCCTAGTTCACAGATATATCGACGCATGATTAAAGAAGACTGCGGGATCCTGGCTGTACTTTGGGATCTTGAAAAGTGGAGCTACATGTATGCTGTTAACCTATATGTAAACTTGCACCTCTAATAAGTTTTTATACATGACAGAAAACAAAGTGAATGAAAGACAGAATACTGGAGAAACCTCATTTGGTCAGTTTGTGTTTACTATTGTGAATTCTTCAGTATCAGACAAGCCATTAATCATTATCTATCCATCATTCTTAAACCACTTCATATTGTATTCCACCCATTTTATATATATTTACTGTATAGAAAATATAAGTATAATATATAATTATTATTATTCTAAATAATAATAATATTTTACACCTTAGTCTTTTAAAATAATACAACTAGCTAGTTTGATAACAAAACAAATGTCTCTAACACTCATTTTTACAAATTTAAAAAATCGACACTTTGACGAAATTCAGCAGGACCATTCTCTTATTGGCTCTGCTTGATCAGGAGGAGGTTTAGCGGCAGGAAATTAATAATCATCAATTCCTGCCACCGATAATGGTGACAACCCAAAGCCCTTTATGGACGATTCCAGGAAACTCCAGTTTCCTCCCACAGTCCAAGCACAGACAGCTGGGGTACGTTGAGGTAACTTGGCGACTCTGATCTGTCCTCTGGCTGCTGGGGTGTGTGTGCCCTGCGTGGACTGGCACCCCCCCAGGAAATCCCCTGCCCACCGTCTGCCAGGCTGGGCTCTGGCTCACCGCTGGCCTGAGGGCTAACTGCAAACGGATGCATATGCATGATCTCTAAATAACTTCATTAAAACGTCAAAGCTTAATAATGAAAAGATCGCTCCAGGAAATCGACACCGGTCCTTTCAAAGGCGGCCCACTTATATACTGTACACAAGAACAGTGCATGACTATAACATCATAGAGCAGTGAGCCATGAAGTAAAGAAGTTAAAAATGGTCTCCCATCCTGCCTCCTGCCGTCTCTTTTCCAGTGTGGGAATGGTAGCTGTGACCTGCTTTCCGGAGTCCCGCTCCCCCCCCCACGCCAGCGGGTCTAGCTCTGTCCACCCTCCGTGTCCCTCAGATCCCAGCTGTCCTCATTTCCAGCAGACGGTCAGCTCGCAGCGCCTCCTGCTGGCCAGCCGCTGTAAGTGCTTGAAGTCCGCGCAGCTGATCCCCCAGCAGCCGCTGAGGTCCAGCACACGCAACAGCGGCGCCTCCGAGACCAGGCGCCGCGCGGTTTCCAC